TCACTGGAAGTTAGAAACGCTGAGTGTCACAAACAGTGGCGCTCGTACACATAATCATTATTCTCGCAACCTCAGTCCATATGGATTCTGTCATCTCTTTAACTCTGCTGCCAACATTCCAATCTTCAATCTGCTCTTTTATCCCAATAGGCATCCGAAAGACATCAACCAAAACCGGCGCATGAAAATGCATGGTTAAGGTTTGTGAAAACTGGAATTGCTAAAGTTAATGCACGAGTACCATCATTTGCGCTGATCTTCACACAATCGTCTGGAACATTGTGGAAAAAACAGGACCGTTATCTGTTTCCTAGGTGCATCAGTAGAGGCCGTAGTTCATGACCGGCAGCAACACTATCTGTGTTCGTTTTAGTCAATTAAATGACTATTAGAAAATCGGTTATGCGACAGTGTCAATATATTTTCACCGAATTAATCGTTCTCCTGCACAGTACGAGTGGGGCACTTCTGCGAAGGAATGCATCTCAGAGTTGGTTCGTCTCTAATTGAGCCGACCAACGATTGACAGATGGGCAAACGGTTTATCATGTTATGTTGAACAGAAACTTATCGCAGAAATTAACCCGAGTAATCTGGTGATAATGTGATCAAGCGATAAGGGTGACTACCACACCAATCCAATGCTCAGCTGTTCATGTTCGACCACCAGAGCTTAATTTCTTCATGAATGTTTGGCCTCCTTGATTGAACACAAGTCACTGACTGAAATGCGATCGTTCAACTGTTTATTCAGATATTCTTAATATATCATACGTTCAAACTTATCTGTCTGTCTTTAAATGCATGCAATGTTTTCATATGCCACTTTGTCTTATCAAGGCACTTGACAATCGGGATTGGGGCCAGCGTGGCACCGGGGTCAGTGCACTGCTCACTCAAAATAGTACAACTGAACTACGCTCACAACCGGAATCCAATAGACGAGCTGTAAGAAGTGAAGAAGCGGCGGACAATTGGCGCCGCGATCGATTGAAAGAGTGTACGGAAATGGAGTGTGTACTCAATCACGGCTGGTCAGGGTAAGTTGTTTTGATTTTGTTCAAGCGTTTCGGTTTGAGAGTTGCCAATTTTGAGGGGTCAGAAAATACACTGGAACATGAGGTCAGGACACATTGTTGTTTACCGAGGGGAAAGGGACCTGTGAGGAATATAGGATTGTAAAACGTGACACTCAGACATAAGCACACTGCATCTTCTTGAGTCCGCGTTTCACTTATCGTATTGTTTCCTTGCTACTGATGGTCAGTCCCGAAATAAGCCACTCACTGACTTCTCGTGGCGGTGTTTTCCCACCAAAAAGACAGGGCTCAANACACCCGGGGCTATAACCGGGTTGGTGAACCACTGGCAGTCCACCTAGGTGAGTTGGCTAAAACGATTGATTCCTAATTAATCAAGAAGAGATGTACAAACCACACCCACTCGCACATTCCTGGTTGAGGAATTGGTCACTGGCCCGATTGGGCATCGAAGTGTATTGGGCATCTTGGACGTCTGACATCGTACAAAGGGCGTATGATTCGATAAACTGGACATTAGCCCCATTCGATTGCGCTTTTCACACAGAGCCTTGCGGATCATGCTTTAGTTACTCGAAGGCTTCGTAAGAAAATTCACCGGCTTTGCGTTGGCCTGGCCAACCTAGCAGTATCATGCCATCGAGCAAATCATGGACCATTTTCATAGATTATTGTACCGTGATTTGTCTGACACAATCGGAACTCCACAAAACAGTACATGCTCACCGGTCCGTATATCCACTTAAAGTGAAATCCGTTCTTCAGATGTGGATTCATAAGAACAGGCCGAGTATTATTAACACTGTTCACAAAAGAAACCCTTTAGCACACGGTTTCCCAACAAGCTATAGACAAAACCCGTACTTCTTGAGCCTCGACCTTGATAATTATGTCAAGTGTTGCAACGTTAATCAATCGATGATAGTACCGGGGGTGTACTTTTATTATATATTGTATATTATCCGTGGCATGTTTATCCACTTCTCATCAACAGAGTTTACTTGCGAATGCAAAACAATGCACTGTTTGTGTTACACTTGAGACTTTTACTCACCAGAGTATTACATGTTATACGGAAACACTGAAACTGTACAAGATGTGCCAAATGGTTTGATGATGCGGACACATTGGTTAAGCCTTTTCCAGGCAACATTTAGTTCAGCGTGCGACCCCCCACACCTTATTTCTTAACCAAGCTTTGCAATATCAACATTTATAGAAAATAAAATGCTTCACCATCCGTTAATTGCAGAATATTGCAATATTTTTTTTATCTGATTCGCCTACTGCAGTGTGAATAACGTTCGTGCGTCGAAGCTTAAGGACTGAGGATCAAGGCTAAAGAACTGCGGGTTTTGATTAAAGCTTGATGGGAAAAGGTGTAGTTGGCCTGGTGTTCTAACTCGGTTCATTCTCTTCTGGAAATTTAACACCTAATTATACTTTAGCCACAATAACTTGTGCCAATAAATGGTCCTTTTTCAGTCAAAGTGCCATCAGATCGAGACCAACCACCACGAGCATTGTCGAACATGTATGTCAGCCACCTTGGAATCCAGTCGATACGCAGTTGAATCAGCGGCCACAAACACCGAACGCACGAGGCATCACTCGCTCTGGTGCTGCCAATGCATTTCGCGAAGGTTCTGCGATGGCGGATCGGATGGGACTGACACGTGCCGCGGTGCAGCCACATGCCCATCTTGATTCGGACGAGCTCAATGAAATGCGGGACCGGGCATTACAGTCGCTGGATGAGCCCCCGGCGAGACACGGTCCAAAGGCAAGATTTGAAGTACGTTCTATATGCTACTATTTATCACAGTTGCTTTCAACTGTTCTGTTATCATTCGATATTCCTGAGAAGAAAGTCAAATATGGTGAATTCGTCGTGTATAGAGCAAATGAAGCGTGAACTGAAAAGCTAGGAATCACTGGACAGCTGTTTCGACCTGGTTGGGTCGCATCGGCAGTACGAATCCATCGATCCAATTGGGGCTCGTGCACCCAGGACTTCAAGGACAGAACACAAGCATGCTACCCACTCTGCAGCTGATCAGACCGCTTTTCATTTACCATTTAAATGATATAATACAACCCATCTTTGCGAGCTTTTTGCAGGCCTTTGAAATGGAATCAAATCTTCCGTTACTCACATGAAAGTTAAATAACTTGAGGCTTAATGCAGTCATTTGAAAACAAAAGGTGGAATAATTAGTGAAACCTAATCCCGGTGTTCTGTGGTTTGCGGCGTTTTTCGATTATATACCAAAGCAGTGCTGTGATAAGTACTTCATTTTAAAGCAAAAGCTGCGACAACAAAGTCTGAGTCGTCCGAGTGTGTTATCATCTGAGTATGTTTTCGGCCAGTCGGTGAGAGGCATGAAGAAGCTAGCTTCCGCTTCGGCTTCGGTTAGGGCAGCCCGCTTTCTGGGTTGGGGCCCAAAGGATGATAATTTTCGTGGGTTAGAGACGCTAAGAGGTATGGCCCAGAATAGAAGTCAGTGGCTCGAATGCTGTACGATCTGTCTGTTGGAATCCCATGCCATGCAAAACACGGTAAGCAAACACAAAAGTATCACAGTGTACGATGGAACACCCACAAAATTGTTGTTATTCCTGTTATGTACTGTTTTCAATTGTGACTGTTTAGCTTTCTTCAAACTTCTTTCTGAATCCCAATTTACCCACATCCCCTGTTGCTATCACAATCGTTGTGGTGTTGGTACCATGCTTATCCACACGCTGGTGATACATATATACATATCATATTAAGGATCATGCCAATGACGACAAAATTTTCCTGGAAATACACGAGCGGTTTCGCGGTTCTTGCCGCCCATCAGGTATGCGTATCCGGTAATCTGTTGTCGGTTCATTTATGTACTTGTACTCAGGAAGTGTATTTTCGTTACAATAACTTTGTTTTCAACACCGGATAACTTTTGTCCAATCATTCACATGCTACTTATTATGAAATATTCCACAAAGACGATTAAGTCACGTTTGTTGCGGTTAGTAGCGTCTAGCTCACTTAGTCAAGTCAAGTCAAGAAAAGCTTTATGCACCCAAAAGGTGAACTTTCCGCAGTTTACGAGTTGTACAGTGGATAGATAAAATAATTGTAAACAAAAAATACAGTATGAGAAATTCTGCACTTTAATGAATGAGAGAAAAATTAGGGTAAGAGTTTTTCCCTGAGGTGGGTGAGGATATGCTGACGATTTACTAGTAAACGAGCTAGGTAAGGAATTACACTGTTTCGATATGTGGAA